CGACCAAGATGGAGTCAGCGACCAAGATGGAGTCAGCGACCAAGATGGAGTCAGCGACCAAGATGGAGTCAGCGACCAAGATGGAGTCAGCGACGAGGACGGGACTAGCGACGATGGCGAGGATGACGATGGCGACGAGGACAACCAAGTCGACGACCAAGACGAGGAGGCGGAAGAGGAACAGCCTGTCAAGACGTACAAGCCGGTAACAAAGGCGGATAAGGAGAGGGCGCAATTGTTGCTGAATCACAAAAAGCGACGCATCTACAAGGCCGTCGTTGCCCGAGAGACTCGGGAGAACGCTGAGAAGGCTAGGCTCGCTGCGAAGGCGAGCGGAAAGGTCTCCAAAGCGGGCGCTAAGGACTCCGCACGGAGGAGATAGTTTTTCGTTTCATGACTCATTGGCACAATATATACGATGATCAAGTAGATACGATGATCAGGTAGAGAGCCTGGGGTAGAGAGGTTGGGGTGGGCTGGGAGACGGGTAGGCTGGGCATCTAGTACTGGAGTGGGCACCTAGCACTTGGAGTGTGCACCTAGTACTTGGAGTAGGACTGGGCGCCTAGTGCTGGAGTTAGGAGAAGTCAAAGGTTCGTTGCATGGGATCGAAAGGTTGGGTGGTAGATATTTGTGGCGACTGTGTGAATTTTCGGTCTGAGAGGAATTTGCGTAGCGTTTTAGCAAGTTCGTAGAAGGAGACTTGGTGGGGGTTGGACGCATTGGTTATGGTTGTAACGAGACCTAGAGTGACGGCGCCACCTGCCCCCCAGCCGGGTATGAGTAGGTCTGCAGCAGTCTCTGTATCTTGGCATGAGGAGATGAGTATGACATGTGCGTCAGACATTTTGGGGTAGAGTTCTCGTGTCCATACCTGTGCTCCCTTCTTAATATTTTCTTTGAAGTGGGCATCGATGGGCCAGTAATATGGTAGGTCTAGACCGGAGCCGCTATGACAACAGTCCATAACACAGACAAGACGGACTCCGGCGGGCAGATCCTTAACCAAAACATTGTTCAATTCATCATCCGTAATATGGCCCGCCGTCTTGTAATCCAGCGGCATAATGGTTTCATCAAACCCAGTTAACTCAGTACCCTTCGTATTCCTCTTCTGACCACCATGACCACTATAATGGAAAAATAACAAGTCACCCGGACCACTATCCTTCACCAACCAACGCATAGCACCCAAACAGTTACGACGTGAAGGGGATAATCTCTTGTTGTAACCAGGCCGGTCAGTTAGCAATGTCATGCACAAAGGGTCATCAACGAAGCCAAATACGCTCGTTATCAAGTTCTTCATACGATACACGTCATCCACACATCCATTAAGCTCCTTACGTGTCCCGAAATAATTTATTCCAATCAGCAATGCCTTCCTACGACCTACACCCAGAACCTCCATTGGCGATACTGCCCTTTCCGCACCAGTCACCTGACCCGCCATCGGCCCTGGAACACACTGGTTCTGCATCTGACGTCCAGGCTTCAATGGTGCAGGCTTCAATGGTGACTCGGTATTGACTCCCACCAGGTCCGGCGAAACACCTGCCGCAGCCGCCATCATTTCCTGAACTGGCCGAAGTCGGGCCTGTTTGACACCTCCAACACCTGAACCTTGCAACCCACCAGGCTGGACTCCAGCAGTCAGGCCTGCAGGAGTGTGGAAAGTCGTCGTGTAGTACGACTTCCCTGTGGAAGCCGCGAGCGCCTGTGAATGCTGCAGCACCACTGTTGACTGCGCCAGCAACCTTCGGGACTCGGGAAGGGCTGCCGCCTCCTCGATCATCGAGTCCAATAACACCTCCATGGTCTTCTTCACATGAAAATCGCACTCCTTGAGGGCTCTGAGAAGAAATTTCCAACTAGCAAGGTGTTTCCAACTAGCAAGGTGTTTGCAACTAGCAAGGTGTTTGCAACTAGCAAGGTGTTTCCAACTAGCAAGGTGTTTCCTACTGGAAGATGACGTCGGTGGGCGCCTTGGTCATAACGGACTTGATGTACTGCACCCGCCGCTTCAGTTCTTCGTGAGTGATGACCTCGCCAGCTATTTCAATCCTTTGTACCACGGGCTGGGCACCCGACGGACGTCGGGTCCATTGTGCCAACCCATCATCTCCTCCAAGGAGTCTTGGAGCTACCTGCATATTTTATTCGCCATGCAACCAGCTGCTGACAAACCAATTTTTGAGCAACACTCTCTCACGGAGGATTCTTTCTCTGCAGAGATCTCCTCCTGATTTAATTAGACACATACTGGACATAGACATATACTGGACAGATCTATCCCAACGGACTTACCTGGACCAAACGGGCCAGCTCTATCCAAACAGACTTACTTGGACCAAACGAGCCGGTCCGGGACAGCGATGGCCGCAGGTGCCGTCCACCCCACCCCCCGGCCCGGCTTGGTCGCAACCCCGCTTGGTCTCGAGCCGACTTGGTCTCGAGCCGACTCAGCCCTTGCCTTTGTTGCGTGTTTTGATTTGGTCTATACACCCAACATCCCGTGGGGGGACTCTTTGGCGAAGGGGGAGACGACCGATCGCAATGGTTGGTTGGGTTAATGTTTGAAGTGCCGTGAAAAGTAGTGCTTGAGGGCAGGTTTGGATTTTTGCGCGGTAAAAATGGATGGGCCGCAGACTAACAAGGCGTTCCGTGTGAAGAAGTCTGGCGCCAAGGTCAAGCGGAAGGAGGCTAAGGTTGAGCGGCATAACCCTAAAGCTTTTAGTTTCTCTGGTGGTCATGTATCAGTGCAGAGGCGAGTTCAGCGTTCTGCGGAAATAACGGAGAAGAGACTGAAGGTATCATTTGCGAAAGATAAGTCGTCGTGGTTGAGTAATGCACCACCTTATGTCGTGGTGGTCCATGGTCCTCCGGGTTGTGGTAAGACGACATTGATAAAGTCTTTGGTGAAGCATTATACCCGCAGGACCATCAGTGTGGTTGGTGGTCCTATCACGTTGGTGAGTAGCAAGAGTCGGCGTCTGACGTTGGTGGAATGCGACTCGAGCATGGCCAGCATGATAGACATGGCCAAGGTGGCAGACTTGGCCATTGTGATGATAGACTCGCGTAAAGGAATAGAGTTGGACTCCTTCGAATTTGTAAACCTAATGCAGAATCATGGCATGCCCAAGGTCATCGGGGTTCTAACCCATCTGGACCACTTTGCGGAGAAAGGAGATCGTTTTGTGGACACCAAGAGTCTCCGAAAACTTAAGAAAAGACTCAAAAACCGATTCTGGTCCGAACTCTACAATGGCGCCAAGCTATTTTACCTCTGTGGAATTCGAAGTCGGAGATATCTACAACGAGAGACCCTCAACCTGGCAAGGTTCATTGCTACGACCAAATATGAACCTATAGTATGGCGGTCGCATCATCCATACATGATTGCACTCGGTATGGAAATAGAAGCACCTACTCAACAGGAGTTGGAAGAAAATCGAAGAACCTGTTCCTTCACGGGATATCTCAAGGGAGCACCTGCCAGAGAGGGTTACATATACCATGTACCGGGGTGTGGTGATTTTTCACTAAAGAAGATACTGACACCCGAAGATCCTTGCCCGCTTCCGACGAACCGCCAGATTGATCTGAGGAAACAAGGCGATGCTGCGCGACACGTCTATGCTCCCATGTGTGACATAGGCTCACTATCTGTTGAAGGAACTTCCATATACGTTACCTTGCATGACAAGAAAAGTCGCAAACGAAATCTGTCTGATGACGACGACGACGACATGTCGGAATCCGAAAGTGATGAGCACAGCGCCAGGGACGCTTCCGATGGCTGGGATACCGACGATGAAGAAGACGGAAAAGAAGTGAAGGAATCCGACTCAGAGCAGGACGAAGATGATGATGGCAGCGTCGTGGAAGGGGGGTTGCCTCAAGGCTGGAACTGCGAATTCGAAGAAGCCGTCTGGACTGACCGTCGAGATACAGAGCATGACGACTCCGCTAACGAACTCCTCACAGACGAGGATGGGGACGACGAGGATGGGGACGACGAGGGTGACCGACGTGCGAAAGGCAACGGTTCGGAGCGAAATTCCGTTATAGAACAATTGAAGACCGCTAGCCAGAATCTGCAGGACCTGGATCCAATCAAGGTTGACCAAGAGAACTGGTATGCTATGGTATATCAGAACGTTTACTGTCACCGCCCGGACTGGCAGAAGTTCATGAGCAACCATTCGGAGTCCAACGACTATACGGTTGACCTGTTCTCAGGCAAGGCTGTAGACACCCTCGAATGCTGGGAGTCCACCAAGGTATCCGACGAGTACCGGTTTGCGACTCTGAAAACCCTCAGTAGTATATACGAGGAGGAGCGGGCAACTAAACAACTGGAAGGGACTCAGGACGATCGGACGGATACCGAGGAGGACAAAATCGAAGGTGACAATGAGACATGCTCCGGCTCGGATTCTGCTTCCGATTCTGTCTCGGATTCGGAATCAACAGGTTCAGAGTCAACAGGTTCAGAGTCAACAGGTTCGGTGGTTGGTTATGCGACACCGTTGGAAGGCTTTTGTGTATCTCTGATGGTGCTGAAGAGTCTGCGACAGGTGGCGTTTGCGACGGGTGGTTGGGACGCAGGTGTAAGTGAGGAGGAGCGTGTGTTATTGCGCGAGGAGTCGGAGAAAGGTGCACTGGGTCCGGGATGGGCGTTGGCTGCCGGTACATTTGTGCGTATGACGTTGAGTGATGTGGATAATGCATGGGTTGAAGAGTTGCGTGCGAACCCGCGTGCGATATTACTGGGTGGCATTAAGAGCAGTGAGAATGCGCTTACATTCATCCATGCACGGGGTCGTCGACATCGTTGGTCACCGGGTATTCTTAAGTCTACGGAGCCGCTCTTATTTTCGGCTGGTTGGCGTCGTTTCCAATCTTTACCTTATTTTGCGATGGAGGAAAGGGAGAGTGTGCGAAACCGGTATTTAAAGTACACTCCGGAGCATCTACATTGTCAAGTATATTTCCATGGCTATGCCGTGCCGCCGGGGACTGGTTTAGTAGCCATAAAGTATGCGCAACGTACCCTCAAATCTTGGCGTATTTCACTCACGGGTGTTGCTGTCGAAAACGTCGCCGTTCCTCGTGTTATGAAGAAGCTGAAATTCATTGGCAACGTCCACGAAGTACTCAAGAACACCGCCTTCGTCAACGGCATGTTCACCAGCGACCTTGAGGTATCCCGGTGCATCGGCGTACCAATACAAACACAATCTGGAATACGTGGTATGATAAAGAAGCCGAAGGGCCAAGATGGTACCTTCAGAGCCACCTTCGAGGCACCGGTCAACAAAAACGACGTCGTCATATGCAAGGCCTGGTATCGGGTACCCATGGAACCCTACTGCAACCCAATGCTAGACCTCCCAACCTGGGACAAACTAAGAACGTTCGTCGAAGTCAGACGCGCCGAACAACTCGCCCCCACCCCGCAGAAACCCGATAGCGTGTACAAACCCCTTGAGATCAGAAATGACCCTGAAGTCAAACCACTTAAGGTACCCAGACAACTACAGGACACCCTCCCGTTCGCAGAACTCAAGAAAACCCTAGTCGAGGAACAAGATAAAACCAAGCCAGTTAAATACACACCATATGAACACATGGTCAACAAATTACTCCAACAAGTCGTGGACCAAAAGAGACAGGTACTGCAGCAACAACGAGATAATCTCGACCAAAAAAAATCAAGGTACGCTAAAGCAGAAGCCAAACGGGCTGCTGCATCAGCGGCTAAAATTAAGGCTACCAAAAAATCCAAATTCGCATCACAGGGAAAGAATCTTAAGTCTCAAAGGAAACGAATGCGAATGGACTAGCCCATGACGTCATGATCGATCACGACAGAGGTTTTTTCCCCTCATTAAAATATTCACTTTCTCGAATTGAACTAACTTTCTGATGATTTTGTGACCTGGCTCACTTCGTAGCCCACAGGATGCAACCCACCCACACGCGCACGGCACTTGCCATGCAAGACCCCACCCTAAGATACACTGCTTGTTACGAAGGTATGAAACATAAAACATGATGAAGGTATGAAAGTATGAAAAAACGTGCGAGGTAATGTAATGAGGTAAC